GGCGCCCCACGCTGTAAGTGAGCCAACGTCTGACCTGTCACTTTGCGTTGTGTTTTGCAGTTGCTGGATTTGTGCGACTCGGTGAAGGATGATGCCCTGAGGGTGATCTCTGCCTTTAACATTCCACACACCTCCCTCCACGCACCTATCGCAGGAATCACCAATGCGCAGGCCGCCTGGGCCTTCTACCCGGCACCGCTGCAACCCGAGCCCCGAGAAGGGGCGCGCTTTCAGCCGCCCAAGCTGGGAGCCAAGTTATAGCGGGCGTGGTGCGAAGGGTGGCGGCTCGCTCGCAGCTGCCACGACACTAGCTTCTCTGACGTCTGAACTGGGGCAAAGGCCGGCCTGGCATGAGCTGGGCCTCGGCCCTCGGGGATTTGGGGCGCAGAGCAGGGTAGGCTGGCGAGGTGCGATGGGCTGTTGGGATAGGGAGCCCGGTGGCAGCCCGGAACACGGGGCTTTATTATGTAACCCCGCCGGCCCGCAGCACCCTCTCCCAGCTTCCGCGCCCGATCTCCCTAGACACTGGTCTCCCCTGTGAATGCGCCCCACAGCCAGCTGCCGCCAAAGGTCTCCCGTGGTCAGCGGCGACTCAGATTTACAGTGATTTTGGAAAACGCAATGGCGTTGCGTGAAAAAAAAAAAAATCAAAACATAAAAATCAAACACTCGCGGGCAAAGTTTCAGTTCAACAAGCGATTCTTTTCCTGTGAATCAGACCCTCTTGGGGTCTCAGAGAAAACGCACAGACTGGGAAAGAGGAGTTTGCGCCTGGAGTTTTGCTCTGAGCAGAGCGCGAACCCCGGCTTGTCCTCCCAGGCGGCTGGCTTCCGGACCTTAAGACAAGGCACGGAAAATATTTTTACCATATGAAATTGTAATCTGTTCTTTAGAGAAGCATAGATAACAAAGTTTAATAAAGACATTAGTTGATGGGAAGACGCTCGGGCTCCTTGCCAGGGATGGGGAGGCGGGCTAGAACAGTACACCGCAGTAAGAAAAGATTCAGGAACTCTGGAGAGAGCACACCCGCAACGCCTCTGGTCCCGGGCGAGGGCCGTAGATTTCCCATCCCATTTCTCAGATCCCGATTGCCCTACTTCTTTTTTTGCTCCTTTCCCTCAGCCCCAGCCGTCCTTCTTACTCCCTCAACATATCTCGTGGCAGAAGCAGGAGTGATCATAGCTCTGCTTCTGTCCGCGGGGGCGACACACAGGACCGGAGCAGAAACCTAACGCCCATCTGCACTTCCCACACTACCCCTTTCCTGGGCTGTGGCCCAGTTTCCAGAGGACCTTCGGACCCTGCGGGAGAGGGCAGGAAGGGCTAGAGGTCACCCGGCGCGGAGAGCGCAGCCAAAGCTCCCCAGCACAGTCTGAATTGCATGACTCCGAGCGGACCTCCTCTTTGTGCCCCAAAACAAGAGTGCTTAACCGGTTGCTTTCCCTGACGCCTCTGTTTTTAAAAAGTGTTCACAGGGTCGCTAAAGCAGACGACGCGGGGGCGGCGGAGCTGCACAGGACCAGAGGACAACCACTGGGGCTTTCTTCTGCGTCGTTCTTTTCCTGTCCCTGTCTGCATCGCCCAACCCCACCGAGAGCTCGGAACACTGGGGCGGGTTTAAGGCGCCCAGCGGGCGCAGTTCTGTTGTTTTCCCGCATGGTCTTAGAGTTCGCCCATGGCCACAACCTGAGGTCTAGGGCAGCGGCTCCAAGCCACTGTCAGGGTAGAGATCCGGCCTCTGCGTCCACTTCGCCGAGTCCACGCCCTTGTCCTTTCCCTCCTGCAACGAAATCCCAGGACGGAACCCGGCGTGCTCCTTGAGTCCCCCCAGGAACCCCTGGCCTCCTACACTTCGCTCAGGACTCGCCAGGTGATGGCTGAGAATTGTTTAACCGGGGCCTGTTGTGACTTCCTGACGTTCCATATCTGGAACCGAGGTGGTCAGCAGCGGGATAACTCCTGACTGACATGCTCCTCTGCAACTGAGGACCCTTCCTTCTTGGTTCGGGGAGGGAGGCGCTTTAGGGGATCCATAAATTGGGTTTTTTTATTCCATCTAACCACTTTCCAGTGGCAGAATGTTCTATCTCCCGACCGACCTCGCCCCCACTCCCTGGCCACGCGGCTGTCTCCTAGCCGGGGAGCGCAGGAAGGGGTAAGGGTGGGGACTCCGGACCCACTTAGGAACACATGAGGGTGCCGACCCAGAAGAGCACCCGTCCTCCGAGCAGGCGGGCACCAAGGAGAAAGGGGGTGGGGGCGCGCAGGGAGAAGGAAGGGCGCTCCCCACACCACTCCCGGTGCGCGCCGCCTTCACTGGCCTCAGCGCGCCTCGCGGGAGGTTCTCTGAAAACCTAACCGATCTCTAGGATCCCGACCCAGCGAAGGTACCATCCTCTCTCCCACCTGAAGGCCGAGATTCCTCTAGGTCTTTTTTTTTTTTTCTTTCTTTCTTAAAAGGATTTTTTTCGAGTTCTTTTTTCATTTCCCTATTTTACCTGCTCCGCGGGCAGTCCCTTCCTGCCTCGCACCGGGGCTGCGGAACAGACGCCTCGGGGGATCCACTTATTTTCTCCACTCTTCCCATTGAGGGCTCTGTCTCTTACCTGAGGCTCGGCGCGGGGAAAAAGCTAGGTGCCCCTGCCAAGTGGCATGGGGAGGGCGCGCCCAAGACTACCGCGTGAGGTGAGGGCGAGGAAGATGAGCAGCCCTGCCCATCCGGGTCTCACCCAGTACCCCAGACTCTGGGAGAGAGGAGTCTGACACTCACTGCCCAACATGGGACCCGAGAGTTCTTGAGGATCAGCCCACTCCCCACGCCTGCCCCAGAGCCGCTGAGAAATTCCCGAAGCCGATCAAGGGCTCAGGGGCGCCTCCTGACGCTTTCCGCAGGCGGAGGCGGCCCGCCCTGGTCCAGTGTGCCCGGAGCGCCCCCTCTGTTCCACGCACACGCAGTGGCCCCTGCTGGATAGGGGAGAGGCAAGGGTACACTTTAAGGAGGGAGGGAGAATGGGTGCGCGCAAGCCACCAGCAGCACTAGCCACTCGGGTAAACACTCTCGGCTGGGGCAGGGCCGGCAGCGCGCGCGGGGGAACCCGGCTGGGCCACCCCCGCTTTTACCTGTTGGAGCCTGAAAGCGCCAGCGGCTGCGGCTGCGGCGCGGCGGGGCGGGGTGTGCTTGCTCGCGCGCCGGGGCGGGACTTAGAGGGGGCGGAGCTCGCGGTGATTGGGTGAGGACCCTGGGCCGCCAGTCTGAGCTGAGCTGCAGGGCTGTGCAGGTTTCACTTCGCTCCGCGCAGCCTCCAGGTTTAGGTCTTGTGAGAGCGCTCTGTCCTGCGTGGTCGCCGCCGCCAACACTGCCACCGGATTCTCACAGTCACGCTGCGCGCCCCAGCCCAACTGCGGCCAGCATCGCCGCGGGCTGCTCGCTTCGCCCCGCTCCCGCCGCCACCCCCTCGGCGCCCTTTCCCTGGCCCTCGTCCCCCCAATGTCTGACTCTGACTCACGGACTGAGAAACGCAAGGTAAATACCTCCGAATCCCCGGGAGCGGGCCGGGTGCCGACGCAGACAAGCGCCGGAGCCACCTCGGCTCCACCTCCTGCTCCCTTCCCGAGCACGTGCAGGCAAGAGATGCACATACCCGTCCCACTTATCGCTGGGCGGGAGGCAGCGATCAGGCGGGTCGGGTTCCCCTCCCTGCGCAAGCCCAGTTTGGTGAGGGGTCGTCCGTACAAAAGCTACCAGCATTTGGCCGAAGTGCAGCTCGGCCCGGGATTCCGCGCGAGGGAGTGGAGAAGCTTCTCGGGGTCACCTGGGGAAAGCAAAGCGTGCTCTCCGCGCCGTCCCGGGAGCTGCGGCCCCGCTCCGGTACTGGGCTGCGCGGCGGGAGGGCAGGTCTCGCCGCCCTGTCCCGGAGACCCCCAAGTAGCGGCTGCTTGGTACGAGCTGGTCTAGCGGCTTGGCCCTTCTCGGGTGCTCGGGCCCGTGCGGAGTATTTGCGGAACTGAGGTGGTTATTTAACTGCCGAGCCTCGGCTTTTCCTTGTACCCATTCAGGCCGAGGTTTCAGGGCAGCTTCTGCGTTCGCTCTCTCGGAGGTGTCTGGGGGCCCTGCCCGGTCTGCGGGTGCGCTGCAGATGGTACCACCCGCACGACCCATAGACGGCGAAAGACCCAGGGCCTCCTCCGACTACCGGGGCCACGCGGTGGACGAGGCTCGGGCAGCGGAACCTGCTCCATCCGTGGGGCCCGACGGTCTTAGAGACTCAGGCACCCCGACCCCCTCGCAGTGCTGGCGGGCGGTGCGGTACCCTCGGGGGCCTGTTACTCGGTGTTCGTGCTAGTAGTGGAAGAACCGTCGGCCGCGGGGGACGGGGGTGCGCATGTGTTCGTTGTCTGCGGTGGTGACGGGTGCGCGCAGATATGCATTCCCGTGGCCAGTGGTGGCCGCTTAGATTTGGAGCATGTCCGCGCCGCACGGGGAGAAAAAGGGAGGAATTTGTGGAGGAAGGTGGGTCCTGCAGCTAGGGCAAAGGACGACCTTTGGGGTCTTCAGCCCAGCCGGCCTGGGCGGGGTCGGCGGCCAGCAGCAAGACTGGGGTCTGAGGACGGCCCTGCGGGTGAGAGGGAAGCTCCTGCTTTGTCTCCAGGTGACCGGCCACTTGGGGCGGCGGGAGCCGCTGAGGCTCGTGCGGCGTCCGTACGGGGCACAGAGGTGGTGCGGGCTGGGAGAGCCAGGGCAGCTCGGGTCCGCGAGACTCCCGCCGCGCTCGCGGCCGGGCAGCCTTCGGAGGCGAGTTTGTCAACAATCGCCTCGCCTTTGGCGGCCTGACCCGTAGGCGCCGCCCCCGCCGGCGGCGGCTATTGGCTGTGACGCGGAGCGACCGCGCGCGGGCCAATTGGGAGCGCGGGCACCCGGCGCCAGCGGCGCGGGGAGGTCGGCGGTGCCGGCGGCGGCGGGCGCAGTGCGCGAGGGGAGGAGCGGGAGGAGGCGGAGGATGTTCCCGGCGGCGGCGGCCGGGGCAGCGCGGGCCAGAGGCGCGGCGCGCGGAGCCGTCGGCTGCCGGACGGCGCGCGGCGGCGGGCGGGCGGCCACTGGCCGGCTCTGCGCTGCCCCGGGGGCTCTGAAGGCGAGTCCCGGGCTTTGTCTCCCGCGCTTCTTTCGTGCTGACGGTCAGGGAGCTCCGGGTCGGCGAAGGACGCGGGCGGGACGCCGCGGGTCTCGGGCCCGGACGCGACGGTCGGAAGGGAAGGGGCGGACGTGAGTTTCGGCCGCATTGCCTTCACAGGGGAGGGTCGGTGGGGAGACGGAGCCGCGTGCCCCGGTGTCCCCTAGTGTGTGGAGTTACTTGGGGACTTTGCAGGGGGCGCCCGGGGCCGGCTTTGGGGAACCCCCCCCATTTGGAGGTGTGCACCTCGCAGTGTGGGTGCATTCCGAAGTTGTGTCGGGTTCGGTGCGGCGCGCTGCCCCCTGCGGGAGGAGGGGCGCGCGGGCTGGGAGCGGGAGGGACCTCGGGCGGGGAGCGCCCGAGCCCGGCCGAGCCGCGCTCGGAGTTACAAACTCTATTGTGACGCACTTACTACGACTGACGGCCCTTGCCAAACCTTCCCCAGACTTGCTGCCCTCAGCACTTTCCGCAGAACAATGGGGCCGGAGTGGGGAACGCGGCCAGCCGCCTGCAGTCGCTGCATCTGCGCCCGCTTCTGTGCTCCAGCGCAGTATCTGATCCCGGGAAATCAGAGCCCGCTGGGAGTTTCCGACTTCTTCAAATCGGCTCTGAGCAAAGAGCACATAGGAATAGACTTAACACAAGTGCTTTTCCTAAAAACTTCGTGTGTGTGTGTGCGCGCGCGCAATTGTGTTTTGTTTGGTGGCAGGAAGTTTAGTCCCACCCCCTCACCGCCCCCTCCCCGCAAAGATAGAGGTACCTTTGTTATTTGAGGTGTGTTTTTATTCCTATTTGGAAGATCGTCAGAGAAATAAGGTGAACTAACGACTTCTGTTAAAGTATTTGGTATTCTAAAAATTGTGAAGGAATCCGGGAAAGTTGGCTAAATTTAGTTGTTTGTTGTAATTATTATTTTGCTGAAGATAATCTTAGTTTTTATTTTACTTGCAGAAAAAAAGACCAAATGGCAAAGCAACCTTCAGATGTAAGTTCTGAGTGTGACCGAGAAGGTGGACAATTGCAGCCTGTTGAGAGGCCTTCTCAGCTCAGGCCTGGGGCCCCTACCTCTCTACAGACAGAGCAGCAAGGTAATCCTGAAGGCGAAGGGGACCGCTGCCCCCAAGGCAGCCCTCAGGGCCCACTGGCCCCACCTGCCAGCCCCGGCCCTTTTGCTACCAGATCCCCGCTTTTCATCTTTGTGAGAAGATCCTCCCTGCTGTCTCGATCCTCCAGTGGGTATTTCTCTTTTGACACAGACAGGAGCCCGGCACCCATGAGTTGTGACAAATCAACACAAACCCCAAGTCCTCCTTGCCAGGCCTTCAACCATTATCTCAGTGCAATGGGTAAGCAATGCCTGGGTAAGAGGTAGTTACTGTGTGGCTGTCTGAGTCTCTGTTTAAAAGCTGTGTGTAGCATTTAAACTAAACTCCCTTTTAGAATCCTTTTATTGATTTATTCCATATTTTGATGGGAATGGAGGATGTGTCCAATAAGACATTAAACCAACATTGTTGTTTTTTTTTTACATGACCAAGTTTAGTGTCAGCAATGAAGTGTACCTAGTACAGGCCTGTTGAGCAGTGAAGCTGGAATCCTTGCTGCCTGCCTTCGTTATATGTTGTTCTAACCACAAAGACTGACTTATCAATCACACTGTGCTTGAAGGGGACTCAGTCAGATACAGCAAAGAGCTTAAAAACGTAACCAGATGTATGAGGAAAGATGAGACAAGTTAATCATTTTCAAGAATGACATTTTTGAAAGTGGTGTGGTTCATCAAGGCAGTACCAATAGAGAACCAGAAAAATGAGTTATTTTCTACTCAAATTCCTCTTTGGGCTGATTTTTTTGGTTCACTCAGAGGTTTTTGGATATGATACTAATAAGATTGTGGGGTTTTATTTCAGGGATTAAAGACCATTTTAGGGTCTGAACCAGGAAAACCTGGCAGTACAGTGAGGGAGCTAACCTGGTGGGGCTGTGGCAGATTGGGGAGCATTTGCACTTTGTGCATTAGGACTGCCCCCCCCCCCCCCAATCTGTGGATGTGTGGTCTCAGAGTGGTAGGTTTTCCTATAGTATAGTGCAAGATAACCCAGGAGCACAGATTTTGGTGCCAAAAATCCTAGCATCAAAGGTGTTTTGACACTGACAATTAATTTAGAACTTTGAAAGCACTGTGCAAGCCACATAAAAACATCTGTTGGCTAGATTTGACCCTTGAGCCCCAGCATGTGACTTTGAGCATGTTAGCTCTGGAGACCTGAGTAAGGGAGTACGTCTGTGTTGATTCAAGTCACCCTTCCCCACTAATGGAAAATATTTTGGTCGGGATTCACCAGAATCTTACCATTTGGACAGAGAAGCCCTTCCTTCCTGCATTAATGAAATAGAGATAAGTTGGCAGCGCGATTCCTTAAGGATCCAGTTTACAGTCCTTTTCCGTGTAGATCACACTTTTGCCAAAGGCTAAAGAAAACGGAGTTCTCAGGCTAGACACTTGGCTGCTGGAACATAGTCACAGATCTTGCATTTGCCGATACTGCAGGGCTCTGTCTCTTCAGCTTCGTAGAGGTGTGGGTCTGTCCCCGTGTTACAGAGTCAAAACTTGAGAGGGTTGGTCAGGTTGGGCATACCTGGGAAATAGCAAGCAGGGACGGCTGAAACACTGGTAGCTATGCATGTTGGCTGGGCGTCTGATGCTAAAAAGTGAGATAAGCTATTAGGATCCTTCCTTAGGGAAAGGAGCTCGAAGTTTTATTGCTGCTATTACTTTAGTTATTACTACCCTCCTGAATTCGTCTAAACCTTAGAAGTTGGTGCTTACAAATGTTTTTCTGCCTGTACTCCTGAGTATATGAACCTATAGCAGTTCTTGTCACTCAGTGAGGAAACAGGGCTTTATGGGCTGTATTTTTAATACCTATGTATTTTAAGGATCCTTCGGAACTCATAGTTTTCCCTGGCAGACCTATGAATCTATCTCTACAGATGGTGGCTTAATGAACAGAAATAGTTTCTCTTCTTGTTAATCAGGAATAGTAGGTGACCTAGTGTTTGTTTTTGTTTTGGGGTGGTTTTTTTTGTATGTATGATGACATACTGTTTAGTGAGGTTATTAAGAGGTAAGCACCGTTACTCAAGATGACAGATGTAAAGCTTTAGAGATCACAATCTAAGTTATTAAGCAAAGTTATGTTTATACCTTTATGTATGTACCTAACGTTATGTTTATATGTGAAGTGAAGTCATGGATCCTGAGGTGTAACTTTAGAGTAAACTACATTCCAGTCGATTGGCATGATAACTGAGCCTTTAATGTACAGGATTAAGTGATAAGGTGTAAGAAGTTTGTTAGTGCACCAAGGTAAGTTTTCAGTATTAAGTTCTGGGGAGATTTGTTTGTTGGGGTGGGGGCTGAATGGAGGACTGGAGAAGACTTAGTCAGATATGAGGTTTATTCAACTGTAGGATAAAATTGACAGCCTCTGTAGTTTGTGACTTTTTTTTCCTGATTATTCTTCTAACAGTTCCATGCCTAAAGGCCTTGAAATATGCTGAGTTGATAAATTCTGGTTCTCTTCTTTCTAGTCATGTTTAGTGTTCCTTACTCCACCATATCCGTTAAGATCTTCAATGAAGCTTTTGATAATTTATTGCAAAATACAGTTTTCACAAAGAAGTCTTTATGATGGGTTTTAGCCAGGGCAACAAAACAGGAGGTTAAACAGAGGTGCCCCTTCGCCCGGGGCTGCTGCTTGAACTTCACGCACAAGATAGTTTTTGCTCAGAGAGTAGGGATAGATAGCAGTGGATCTTCAGTTCTGTTCCTGCATGTTTGTTCTAATGAGAAAGTAAATTCTTGTCTCTGGGATGTACATCAAGTAAATGTTTATACTAAAAATGCCTTCATATTTTCCTCCATATCCTCTATTTTTCTGGGTATGTTCAAACAATGTTACATTTTTCCATGAGAAGCAGTGGTTCTGTTTTCATTTTTTTCTTTCCTTACTTTTACAAACCAAATTTTAGTCTCCTTATACCCTGGGTGGATTAACTTGACCTTTGCTCTCAGTGAATAACTGATTATTTTAGTCAAAATCATTGACAGAGGTGTGGGTTTCCGCTTGCCTTTTCTGACGAGTGTGCTTATGCTGTATGTGTTTTTAATACAAATTGTGTACTAATTCTCACAGATTCATACTTCGGAGGTGTAGTTATTGCAGTTGGAAATAGGAGTTGAGAAAGGTCAGAATGTGCCAGTGAATATTGTGAACAGGGTGAAAGCTAGTTAATTAACAACGTCCACGTGTCAGATGACTTAAACTTTGTGTTTGTTCCCTGGAACATCAGAGTTCAGAGTCAGGAGTTGTGTTTTCTTTGTATTCCTCCACATCTTGGCATACTCCTCTTGGAGCTGGTAATTGGCTGACCCACCTTTTAGACCATAAGCCCTCTGAGGAGAGGCACAATGTCCAGAAATCCTAATGAGGGCCTGACAAAGAGGAGACGCTCAGGAGATGTTCAGAGTTTCCCGTCCTGCCCATCAGTCTTTCATAGAGCCAACGGAGGACAATTAAGACTTCAAAAATAGTTTAGTAGCAAGAAAAAGACCCTTTGCACCACCCCCACCGCCAAAAATATTTTTAGTTATTTGGATCTAACTATGAGGTTTGTCAGGTGGGATGACAGGTGAGGCCTAGTTCACCATGAACCCAGTAGGGAAGCCACAGGTGAGTACTGAATACTGGAGATGCAACTAGTCCCAATGGAGACGTGCTTGTTAGTGTCCATTCACGCACATTACTTAGTAGGTAAAAAAGAATGTAAAATACTTCCGTCGTTTTCATATTAATGACCTGTGGAGATATTTTTAATATATTGGGTTAAGTAAAAAAAATTTTTTTTTATTGTGGTTAAAAGAAAAGCCCCTAACACTTAACCATCTTAACCTTTTCTAAGTGTACACTTTAGTAGTGTTAAGTATATTCACAGAGTTGTACACCCCACTCCCAGAACGTTTTCATCTTGTAGAACTGAAGCACTGTACCCATTAAACCTCAGCTCCTGGCAACCTTCATTTTATCTGTGTCTGTGATTTTGATTCTTACGGATATCTGATATAAGTGGAATTATACAGTATTTATCTTTCCGTCACTGGTTTATTTCACTTACCGCGATATCCTTAAGTTTCATCCTTATTCGTCATTGTTAGCCCTTCCTTTCTTTTTAGAGCAAAATAATATTCCGTTGTATTTATGTAACATTTTAAATTCAGTCATCTATCAGTGGACACTCGGATGCTTCCATCTCTTGGCTTTAAGTGTGCAAACATCTCATAGATAAGGCTTTTTTAGTTCTTTCAGGTATGAAAGCAAACATTTCCTGAAAATCACACTCTCATATGCAACAGGGGAATCACTGGATCATATGGTAGTCCTATTTTTAATTTTCTGAAGAACCTCTGTACTGTTTTCCCTAGTGGTTATACCACTTTGTATTCCCACCAACAGTGTACAAGGGTTCCAATTTCTCCACATCCTCTCCAACATTTTTTTCTTTTTTAATAGTAACCATCCATGGGAGATGATACCTTACTATAGTTTTAATTTTTTTTCCCCTGATGATGAGTGACATTGAGTATCTTTTCATATTCTTATTGGCTATTAAAATACATTTTTTATATTCATTTTACCTTTTTTTTTTTTTTTTTTACTTTTTTAAAAGTGTTCTTTCTAGAAAAATGTCAAATTAGATCTGTGGCTAGCATTCTGTTTTTATGTGGATGGACTGCTTTGCAAATGGGGGAGCTAGGATGTACAGTGGCGCTTTAGCAAGCCAGACAGACCTTGTTCTTCCCACTCAAAGCCCACCATTTCCTTGGAACTTACTCCTTTGGTTCCTTTTGTTGACTTTATAGTGAAAGTAATTAACCTAATCTTGTAAGCATCTTAAATGAGCTTTGTCCATAGATATGTTCTTTAGGCAAACATAAGTATCAGTTTGGGTTTACCTTTTTTAAAACTCCATGGTACATATGGGCTTTGAAAAAGTTGAAAGTGGGGTGGTTTGGTTCTTCAGGCTTCTCAAGGCTGCCTGGGAACCTGATGATGATCTTCTTTGCTAAGGACCCGCTTCTGGCGTCTAGCCCCAGGCTTGCTAGTTAGGACACCAAGAGAAATATCCACTTTATAGGTTCTGAGTGGGGAGAGAAAGTGAGAAAAGTGATTTCTTTTTTTTACTGGTTCCAGACAAAATTTTAATAATGAATAGCTTTATAGACAGTTAAATTTTATATCTTTTTTATTTTGAGATAATTACAGATTCACATGCAGTTGAAAGA